CCGCGATGTGAGCCGCTGCCTGTCCAGCCCGGGCTCTGGCGAGGAAACTCACTTCAAAAGCAGCTGCACCGTGGGGGAGATTAAAGCCTTTGCCGCCTTCCAATCAAATGGGAGCCCGAGGTGATTGGAGGGTCAAGGGGATGTGACGCGTCCCGCGCCGCAGCCGCCGCCGTCGCCGCCGCTAGGACTCTCAGAGCTGGTTTTAATGGGCAGCTCGCTCTTCGCCGCCCCCCTGCTTGTCCCCTCCCTCGTTCCTAGCTCCGAGGACGAGGTGGACATTTATTCTACGTTTGCCGTCTGCCGCCTCCCTCTTTTTTCCTCCTCGCCGTTCGTCCTCCCTGTTGGAAAATAAAATGAAACCTTTTGGAGGGGTGTGTGTGTGTGAGGGGGGTTGTTGCATGTGAGGAATGGACTGCAGGGATGTCCAGAAGAAGCACCCGTGGGGCTGTGGGTACAACTCAGATTGTCAACTAGTAGGGCGAAGAGGAGGCCCGCACCCCAAATGTTTTTTTCTGTAATTGAGATCCCGCTCCACGAGGCCGCCAGGGAAGGAAAAGGTGTAGAGCGGGTGCTAGAGGAAGTCCGCCCGCCCGCTTTGATTTCCTGAGATTCCACGGAGGAGAAACCAGAAGCTAGAAGAGCAGCGGAGGCGGTGGCGGCTCATCCCGGCGACGTGCACCCGGCTCTCCGCCCTTTCTGGCCACGTGATGCCCGGGGACGAGCAGATTGGGGCAGGAGCCGGGGTCACATGTTTCCTCTGTTTCACACTCAGCAGCCCCCCTATTCTTACTCTCCCCTGCCACCCCCCCACCCCGCTTCTTCGGGTATCTCCACCCCTCCATCAATTGTCAATGTGCCTCGACCGCAATCAATCAGTTATTTGTCAGCTCTTGTCAATCCGCCTGTGATTTATGTCAGCTTTTGTTGCTGATTACAAGGCGGGTGCGACTTGAAGGGAAAAAGGGAGAGGGAGAGAGAGACACAGAGAGGAAGGAAGAGACTTAAGGGGAACTGGAGGAGGGAGAAAGAGGAGCCTCCTCCTGGGATGTTGGGGGGACGCTAAGAAAAAGAATGAAAGAAGGGGAAAGAGGCGCTCAGTGTCAGGAAAATGAATAGTGAGAGTAAAGTGCGCAGGTGCGCCCAGGGCGCTGAGATGGGGCGCGCAGGCCTGGCGTGCGCTCTTCCCTTCTCGGTGTAGGAGGGACAGATGCACTGTCCACCTGGGTGGACGCCGCAGAGTTGGGGGAGATAGGGGTACCCGAGACGGGCGGCGGCAACGTCTGACACGGGAGGTTTCCCGGCTCCCCGGGGTAACCCCGCGGGAATGTGTCAGGCTGTGCCATCCGGCCGCGGACCTTCCATAGTGTCCCGACCTCACACTCGGAGACTTCTTTCCAACAGCCGCGCCGCCAACGTAACCTCGAGTCCTGGAGGTTAATGGTGCAGTAACCAAGGGGTTTCTTTGATCCCCTGTGATCGCAGCGAGAATTGCAAGGCTGCGGGGAAGAGGCCTGACCGTACGTGTTCGGGGAAAACATGCCTCAAGCTCACTCTTCGCCGATCGGTCGCCCTCCCCAGTGCCCACTGCGCGCCGTCCTCGCTCCTCGGGACTGCTCGCTCAGAGGTCACTGGATGCCGAGCCGGGACTGCCCCGCGCGGGGAGAGCAGAGGGAAGGAGCGAGGGGGAGGGTGCTGCCGGTGGGAACGCGAGTTCTTCCCGGGAAGCAGAGCAGGACTGCCGCGTTCCCCTCGATTTGCACCGTCTCCCGGGCCATTTGGAAAGAAGAGGGAGGCGCTGAGCGTGCCGCGGTGTCTCCGGTCGCGGGAGCACAGTGTGCATGTACGTGTGTGTGTGTCTGCGCCGTTGCCTCAGCTCTCAGGGATTCGGTAGCGTCCGGAGCGAGTTCGAGGGTCACCTCCAGAAACTCTCAAAAAACTGGAAGAGGGTGAGGGGAGGACACACCTCCTTCCTCGGAAGGACTTGGAAGACTTCGCATCTCCCCTCCCCCACTTTTCCGCCAGGCTCTTCTTTTGTTGTCAAGTCCTTTTGATAAATGGTGGGGCCGGGAGCGCTGGGAGCCTGGAGTCCGTCTGTGCCGCGCGGGGCGGGGGCCGAGGCTGGAGGCCGAGTTTCGACCCGCGCGCACCCGGAGCGGAGCCGGGTACGCGCGAGGGTCCGGACTGGTACCTGCCCTCGCGTGCTCACCCCTTCCCCTTGGGCCACCCCACTCCCTTCCCCCTTCTGTCTGTTTCCCATTCCGCAAGCGTACCGAGAACTTTCTGGGGTGAGTTTTAGAATTTTCTTCTAGGCTATTTTTTTTTTTTTTTTTGCGTTTTAATTTTATCCTTTGATTCTTTGATTTGTGTGCAAATAAAACCCCCAGGACACCCACACCAGCCGCCCTGGGGGTTGGAGGCCTGAGGCCCAGCGGAGGCTCCAGGCGTTGATAAACTTTAGGAGATGGTAACTTGACTAAAGCTAATTTGGAGAGGAGACAGGAGGGGAATGAGGAGGTATGTGTGTAAGAACACACCTGCATTCATTCAAGGGGTTTGTAGGGTCTCTGCTCGGCCACCGAGAAAGGTAAGTCGGCGAAACGGTGGCGCGGTCACCCGCGAGGCTGTGAGGTTGCCCGCAGATCTTCGGAGAGCGAATCCCGGCTCTGGCTTGCGAGGGCGGACAGTCCTGGCTGCCTCTGCCGGGCAGCGTGTCTGTGACGCCGCTCTTGTCCTGCGGGCTTTAGTGTCTGTGTCATTGGGTATGTGGCTGCCTAGTTGTCAACTCGGGCCCATGGCAGTGCTCCCGGTGTCGCGAGCACAGTCGTGAGCCACGAGTCACCGCGGTCTCCCCAGAAGGCCCCGAATGCTGGGTGTGCGGACAGAAGTGGGGTGACCTCAGGCCGGGGCATCCTTCTCCGCTCTGTGGTCCAGTCTCCAGGCGCAGTTTTCCCTTTCCCCTCACTGTAGCAGCTTTCTTACTGTGCCAGGCAGCCCAAGGGAGACTATCCCAGCACCCAAAGCCCTCCCGCGCCCTCGGGAGCGGCTCGCGGGTGTGCGCTGTGCTTCGAGGGCGCAGGTCGCGAGTTGCGCGCGTTCCCTGTGCTTCCAACGCCACTCCAAAGGTCCGAGCGCAGGGGGGCGCCTGGGGGCCTGCGCGCCCCGGGCTTTTGGGAGGTGCCAGCATCGGAGCCTGCGCACCTCACGCGGGAGGCCGAATCCCGGAGGGCTGAGCGGGCCCGCGTGCTGGGGGTTATTAATTACTCCGCTGGGCCTCAGGCCTCCAACCCCCAGGGCGGCTGGTGTGGGTGTCCTGGGGGTTTTATTTGCACACAATGGAAATGATTTGTTTTCTCTAAAAAAGGAGTGGGCATGGCAGATATTTGAGGAAGGGGGTAGGAGGAGGAGAAGGAAGGGGAGAGAGCTGAGGAAAAAAGTTTGAAAATGCCTTGAACTATTCACTGTCGAGATGGCTAATCAGTATTGAGGCCGGAGGGCAGGCGGGCCGCCTTTCACCGCCGCTTCCCTTTCATCTCGGGCTCGGCGGAGGCGCTCAATTAAAAGCCTATCAGTTTGTAAGTAAATCAACGCCTATCAGAGTTGTCACATCAAACAAAACGATTATTATTGCAGCCCGCCTCCCCTATTAATCTCCCTCGAAGATAATCCGCCTGACAGGTCAGGCCCGGCGAGCTGGAAAGCCTGGCCCAGAGCACCCAAACAGTCCGGGACTGGCGCGCGCCCCCAGGGACCTCCCCACCCTCGTCCTGTTCGGCCTAGCAGTCCCCGGGGAGGGGCGAGAGCAAGAGCGCGCCGAGGCCCTTGGGCCCAGGTCCGCCCCACGCGACGGCGAGCGAGGCCCGGATTTGCCGGGCCATAGGGGACCATCCTGCGCCGCCACGGCGTTTTCGCGGGGTCTGGGAGGCTCCAGGCGTGCGGGAGCGGGGGCCTCACTGTGGCCTGCACTCTTCCAGTCTCTCTTTCACGGAGCCCCTTCCCTCTCCTGTTCCACCTTGACTCTCTCTTTACCCCCTTTATTTGCTTTTCCTTTCCCCCTCTCCTGCTTGCAGGGAATATTCCCTGTACGGCTCTTCAGTCTTCGTATACCGTGTAAATCACCACCTGCACAGCGACGCTGCCCGCACAGTACCTAGGGCGTTCTCGGCCGGGGTTATTTCTCCCGCGGCAGAGTTGCCTCGGAAGTGTGTGCAGTTCCCAGGATTTTATGATGAAGTCCTCCCCAATTTCTTCCGAAGCAGGGCTCTTCCAAGCGCTGCGCCTGTTTAAGGAATGAGTGCGTTGGAAGGGGAGTTGAGGGAGAGCGAGCGCATGCGGGGCGTGGGGCAGTTAGAGGGGTGGACCGTTGCAAGCGCCGTGTTGTGGAATTAGAATGTGGCCTTAGAATTTCACAGTTACAGCTCGAGATTGACAGCTACTTGGGCTTTGCAGATATATGAAGGAGAGCCTCAGGGCATAGAGACTTCAGCACTGGGCATGCTAGGAGGTGCCTAATGTCTTATAAGTAAGTACATCCCGACCACTGTTTCAGTGGCCTCTAATTGATGCCTTGAGGGTGGGTGGGGCCTGGATTCTGGACGAAAATCCCGGCCTTTTCCGTGGCCTCTGACTTGGAGCTTTGGAACACCTTGGGGTCAAGCACGACCAGCCCTTTTTTGCCCTCTTCCTCCAAATCCATAGTCCTGATCTCCTGCTGCCAGAGCCACAAAGAGCCAGGTGAGGGTTGGCTGAAGTGTTTGAGAAGGAAAGGCTACTGGGAGACTCCAGGCCCTGCCACCTTAAATGTCAGGTCCTTCTCTGGGCCTGCATGAAGAACTCCTAAGGCAAAGCAGCACTGAGCGTCCAGGCTGTGTCTGTCCTACTAGCAGGCCCGGGTTCAAGGCCATCACTGAACAGGGTCCTCCTCAGCCTGCTTGGGGTACTGAGTGGCAGAACTGGTGGCCCATAAACAAGGTTCCTTAAAACCTCTCTATTTGATTTCACTGTCCACAACTGACCTGGGAGGAATATTTATTTCTATACCCAGAAATATTGTATTGATACAGTGGCTCATTTATCTGCTTGCGTGCTTTTCTTAACTGGGTGTATTTCATCTCTGCCACACTGCAGATATTTAAGGAGCAGTAGATACTGCGTCCTTCAACTACCTATCGGAAATATCCACTGAGTGGTTATTAGGACAT